AGAAAGGGGACAATTGTTTCTCTCCTTACATTCCCTTGCTTTTGAGTCTTTCCTTTTTGAATATTTAAACAAAAGCTTATCACTTTGGATTCTGGTTGCCCTGGGGGCGTTTCTGTCTCCCTGGGAACTATCTATTCTGTCAAGATAGCATCTTTATTCAATGCTTACCTACTCTAGGTCCCTGTCCATTGTAAATAAAATGAGTTCTGTTTTCGTAACATACATATAGTTTATGCACACCTATGTTGTCTATTGGCTCAGGTTGAATACACAATGTATTTATTGAGTTAGTAACTTGGGTTGTTCTGGAACCATACAGCAAGAATGTGAATCTCAACCCCACTAGAAAATATCTTAAGCATTCTGTGTCTCCTTTGCATTAAAATGGTGCTGCTGCTGCTTATAGTCACATAGAATAGTAATGAAGATTAAATAATTGATGTATGAAGTTTTTGAATCATATCTGGTACAAAGTAAGAGATCAATAAATGTGTTTCTCTCTGTCACTATTTCTGTGTAGCACACAGTAAAATATGGCGGGCAACCCAAATTTGTATTTCTCATCTGTGGATTATCTGAAGGAAGAGTGAGTCTCAATTGGGGTCCACAAATTTTTCATTTTTCTTGAGCAATTGCTATCTGGTCTAGCCTGGGGCTCTGGGAAGCTCTGTTTCAAGCTGCAGATGGCTGTTCCTTTGTTCCTTGTCTTTGTTGGGAAAATGGGTTAACCAGACATGTAGAGACTTAAGAGGGAAACAAGGGCATGTATATCCAAGACAGTCAACATTTCAAATCCCTAGTGTGTTGATGTTAACATATCATTAGGCAAAGCAAAGCAATGTATATAACTGAGTCCCAAGGCAAGGGACAAGGAAATTGACTCCTCCTTGAGAGTGAATAGGAAGATTGGGTAATTCAAACTATCTCAGCTGTCATTCTTCTGTACATCCTTAAAGTAAGTTCTTGAATCTTTTTCCATTGTGCCTTTGGAACTCTGGGTTTATCCGAGCACCTATCACTGAATTTTGCCATAGAATAGTAAGTTATAACTTTAAAACTGAACGAGATAGATACAGTTTTATTCATCACATATATTTGTTGATAGCTTGATTGATTGAGCTATTTGTCACAGAAGAACATGTTTCCACATTATCACTATACCAGCAGTCATAAGTCATTTATTATCATTGATAGTTGCTACCCAATATTAAACTAATTTGCATTTTGGGAAGAAGAGGTTTATATGGAGCACCAATAATATTTCTCTCTTAGACAAACCTGAGTTTAATTCTAATTCCTTTTGGAATAAAGAACTACCTTTCCATGTCAGAAAAGAAATATAGGTTGGTATGGGAGTTTTAAGAATCATGTAACCCTTATTTTTAGATTCTACCTGCATCCTTTAAAAATGATTTGAGTAAAAAAGAGAAGGGAACCCAGGAAACTTTAAAAGCAGTATGGGAGAAAATAAATGACCATTATTCTTTCTCTTAATTAAGCCAAAACCTCGTTTGCAGGGGTCTGGATCTATCTCTGCTCAGAATAAATGATGCTATTTTAATTTTCATGCTAAAGGAATCTGTTCATCTCCTGGACTTAAGCAAAAATTTCACAGTTGCAGTCATTATAATGAATTCAATAAATGTGTCATGACACAGTATTTAAGACATTCTACTAGTAAGAATTGGCCAACTTTAGCCAATGTGTTACTAAAGCTCATGCAGTAATCCATCAAATAGGATTTTATGGAAGGCATCTCCTCTGAATGTCTATCAGTGCATGTTGGGATGGATGTGAAGTGTCAGAGGGTCATGCCAGATAAAAACTCTTCAAGAACTTCCTATCCCTTCCACTTCTCTAGTCCATTTCTCCTTCTTTGTAATTTTTCATAGCTCTGATAACTTTATTCAGTTACAAACAAGTCATAATTTAGCATTACATTGAAGTGCTTTATGCCATTTTGTTTATATAAAATATAAGAAAAATTTCACTTCAAAAACACATTTTAATATATGACAAGTTTGTTTTCCTTTGGAATTCCTGTTTTAGAAATGTCAGGGAAGAGTGAATGTATTTTTGATAAAGAAATATAACATATATGAGGCATCTTCTTAAAACAATGGCAGGCTTACAAATGTTTAAAAAATGTACATTTTTTTATAAGAGCCTCTGCATTCTTTTGTGAGATTGCTGTATAGATCTCTGTATAGAAACAGCTACTATACATAGAGATGAGAGGTGACAAATTGATAAAATTAGATTACTTCCAAAGCTGAATTTTTCTCCTCTTTTGCCCCCCTTCCATTTTATAAAACATTTTCTTTTACATATCACCTTTGACTTCTTTTAGTTTCCTTCACCTAAATCACAAGCACTGATACCAATATTATTAAAAAGATGCTGAACTGCATACCTTGTGGAGCACTTTTTTTTTTAAAGATTTATTTATTTATGCATACGAGAACTGGAGTACAGGCCAGAGGTGTGGGGGTGAGAGGATTCACCAGAGACAGAGTGGGGTACAGAATAGGCAGATTACTGAAGTACACTGCTGAGGGGAGCAGCGGGAAGAAAGGAGGGGTCTGCTACACCATGTGGGTAGCTTCCTGGCTGGGGATCAAATTCATGCTGCAGTAGCTGTGGACAGCTTCATAGGTTGTGTCTTAACTCCTTGTGCCACAAGGGAGGTCCTGAAACACTTTCTGACATTCAACGTGTGTGTGTGTGTGTGTGTGTGTGTGTGTGTGTGTGTGTTCGACTCCCTTCTATCTCTAATATTCAGTTGATTTTTTTTTTCCCCATGGGTCCTCCTGGGTTTTACCCCATGAAGAGTTTTTGTATTGAAAACTGATAATCACACAGGGCAGTTATTCTGTATATGACTTTAAAGTTTATTGCCCATGGCCCTGCTGTGGACCAAATCCCTGGAATTCTGAAGATAACAATCCCTAAGCTCTTGGAGCTCAACTCGGAATGCTTCACCTGAAAATGAAAACCCAAGCAGAAAGCCTGTTCAGTCTGCTTTGTACATGTGATGAACTAGTACTACATGGAATAACTTTTGGGGGGTATGTTGGTGAGTTAAGAGAGAAGGCAGCTGACAAAGGGGAAGAAAGAAATAAAGTGGAGACACTAAAATAATTATATATCTGTCAATTCAGTTTTCCCCTTGCTAAACAGTCACCTATTTTTTTTTTCCCTGTGAAAAGTTCATTTAAAGCTGTCTCCCTCCAGCTATATGGAAAAACCCACAATGCATTCAATAGTATAATACAAATCCAGAATGTTTTCAAATTTCCCTCTTTTGTGGGTTTTGAGATTGACAGCTCTATAATTAGAGATAACAAAGAAGAAGGGAATTAATAAGATTCAAATGCAGGGCCCTAGTCAGAAATCTGGAGCACAAAATAAGGGGAGTAAGGAAATCAAGGGGTGTAAATCATATAATCTTATTGTAGCCTGGAAAGTTAGACATGCAGATTTTATACAACTAGTTATTTGTTTGGATTTTATACAACCAGTTAGATGTTCAGGTTTTTTACAAAAACTGGTAGGTCCTAGGAACCTAAAATTGATCCTCAGTCTCCAGCATTTATTTGTGAATTTGAAATAAAAAAATTGGTCAAAGGCCTCCCTCATGGCACAGGGGGTTAAGCACCTCACTATGAAATGATCTGAAGCCTCTGCAGCAAGAGTTCTATCCCCGACCGGCCAGGGAGCAACCCACATGGCAAAGTAGACCTCTCCTGTCTCTCCCGCTGCTCCCCTCAGCAGTGTACTTCAGTCAGTCTGTGTGTTCTGCTCCCCACTTTGTCTCTGGTGAATCCTTTTATCCCCTGCATATCTGGCCTGTGCCCCAGCTCGTGTATGCATAAATAAATAAATCTTAAAAAAAAAAGTCAAAAATTTACCTGAATACATGATGCATTAAATTGCTAAATAGTCTCCACTGCTAAATAGTCTCCTGGACTGCAGGTTAATTAAATGTAGCTTATTATCAGATCCAAAGGCTTGGGGAGCATGAACAGCACCCTATTGTATAGGAGGAGGTATTTGCAATTCATTTTAAGCAGAAAGCAGTAATTTTTCATTTTGGTGGCCCTTCTCATTAGATGGGGACTGTTTGCATTCTTGTTTAATTAATCTATTATCTATAGGATATAATGTTATGCAGAATATGTTTGTCTTTTAATTCTTTACAGTATGTCATACTTTTTTTGTATCATATTTACTTCCACTCATAAAATTTACATATTTACACCTTCTCTTTGATATTTCTTATTTGGAAGAAGAGACTTCTATATCTGGTCTTCCATGCAGTAGTAAACCAGTGCCGATAATGGCACTGAAAATTATTTATTTAGACATTTATTAAATGTAAATGCATATCACTTGCCAAATATATATCATAGGAGATATATCTTTAGCAAATAACTTGCAGGAAGCAAATGCAAAAATTGAAATAGTTATCAGGAAACTTGCTTCAGTTATCAACTTTAACACTTTTTACACATCCTTGCAAATTCTTTTTAAATATTTGGTGACAATTCAAATTTCTATCACTGAAGTGAAAAATTTAGTGGGGAAGATTATCAACCAAGGGCACAGTAATATGATACAAGCTTTAAGAATTCTAAGAGATGTGTAAATATGTAATGAGAGTTGAACTTGCAGATATGAAAACCATTATTTCTATCCAGAATGATTAGGCAAAGCCTCACAGAGGGGAAAAAAAAAAAAAAAACACCATTAGCCTAGAATGCTGCAAGACAAATTTCTCAATCGAAAGGAAAAGAGAGGATTCCTAGGAATACTTTAATATGAGAAAATGACATAAAACAAAGATGCAATTATCATTCATGGATATGGAAAACCTTGAGCATATGTAGACCCTTCCCCCCCCCCAAAAAAAAAAAACCTCTCAAACCATATCAAAAACACATAAAGTGTAAACTACACTAACATATAGTGCAAGCAGGAATGGTCAGGTAAATGCTCACCTGTTTTATGCAGCTCCCGGGGAGGCTCTTGGTTGGACTCTCGCTGCTGCGGTGCCACGGTCTCTACCTGCTGCTGTGACACAGCTCTGCAAACTGTTTTCGCTTTACATCTTCTGTGAAAGTGGAAATCCTCTGGATTTCTTTCAGTTTCGAAAACAGGTGCTGATATAGTCTTTCCTAAAAGCAAAGTGGCATCACAGGGACTTTGGATAAGCCGGGGCTCCTGTATCATCTTGGGACAGAGGACTCCCCTGGGCAGATAGATGATGGCAAGGCACAGTAAGCAGGCAGTGGGGGGCTGCTGGTACCCAGAAAGTTATCAAAAGGTCCATAATGATTGGTGGACACCGAGAAAGCCTTCCCTCCGGGAGAGGCTGTAATAAGGGGGCCAGTAATCTTCAGAATTTAGTGTCATAAATTTAACTCACCTATGTTGCTGCTGAAACACAGATGTGAGGGGTGTAGTGCCAGCAGGGCATGGAGAAGGTTTTCTGTGATCGGACAGATGGGAAAAGGAGGGTCCTGGAGTCCTCGGTGGTTTTTTCAGGCTTTTAATAATCTTTCTACACCATTTGTAGTCAGGTAACCAGGTGCAGGACAGGCAGGAGGTCTGGGGGCCAAGAGGCAGGCAGCCCCGCTAGTCCCCCACAAAGCTTTACTCTTTCTGGGCTCTCTGGCTTTCTCTCGTGGCCTCGCCTCTGGTCTCTAATGCACTCTGCTGAAAAGGCCTCCGCCCTCAGCTCCCTGCAGCTGCGCCACCTCCGCTGAGACTCTGCCCTTATATGCTCAGCCTCCAGCTCAGGTGTGCCCACTTACACGCCCACAATGCATTGCAGGGCACCATGAGGCACACGTGTAAGATGGCAAGTGTCGATCATTGATGCTAATGGCGAGAGGGTGGAAAATTCTGATCCCTTCCATTTACCCCACAGAGCGGTTTGTCCTTAGGTATTGGTATTCAGAAGAGCAGAAATTGGAGTCTAGGAATCTAGACTAATAATTATGTGCAGGGGTCCAGGGTCATGGAGGAATCAAGCCTTGAGGATAATTAAAGACACTGTAAAGCTACCAAAAGATTTAATTGGTGAAATGACATAAAATGATATCAATTTCTAAAATGTTGTAGAATGTTGTAGAAACATGGTTCATCATTTTATTTATTATATGATTTTTAAAAAAGCAAAGATGGAGTTAATTTCTCTTAGTGTTAAATGCAGGGGGACTTTTTTCTCTCTGGATGATTTATATTTGGCCATTCCATGAGATCTGTGAATCAACTCATAGTACCTTTCCATTTCATTTCTGACTTCCATATAATCAAAGATAAGTTTTATTTTTTAAAGATGTATTTTTATTTATTTATGCATACAAGAACTGGGTGTAGGCCAGAGGTGTGGGAGGTATAGGCCAGAGGTGGGTGTAGGCCAGAGGTGTGGGAGGTGAGAGGATTCACCAGGGACAGAGTGGGAAGCAGAACAGGTAGATCCACTGAGATACACTGCTGAGGGGAGAAGTTGGACAGACAGAAGAGGTCTACTGCACCATATGTGGATTAACTCCCTGGCTGGGGATCGAACTCATGAGCAGTGGTGATAGAGCTGAGACTTAACCCCTAGGCCACCGAAGAGGACCAAAGGTAAGTTTTATGTTTAAAGCTATATTTAGCCTCAGGGTTGAGGAAAAATATTCCCTCCATTGGGTTCAGTGTTACTATTATTTAAATTCTTATTTGTTTTGTATTCATAGCTTTCACAGTAACCTAATTCCTCAAATTGTTTAGAAGTAATGGATACTGAAACAAATGAATGAAAAATCAATCTTGGCTGACTTCTAAGGTACCAGCCTTGTACCTTTGCTATTTTCATAGGCCTCAAAAAATTTTAAGAGGAAATTATTTGCATGTTTCCTTTCCGATAGTTATACAGGAGCAATGGCTAATGAATAAATCAGTTGAGTTGTATCGACAATGGGTATTTTAAAATAAGATTTAGGGGAAAAAATACTAAATTAAGCGTCAAAGTAGTCACATGGATCATTCAAATGAATCAGGTTTTCTGCTCAGTTCAGGACACAAAACTATGATATTTCAAAACATACATCATGCACCTTTAGTTATTATAAGCCATACTGAACACCTTTATTCCTAATAGTTTATCTTTTATTAGTAGGGGTTTTTTTGGTCTTGATTGTTTCAATTGCTTTTTGATGAATTACTTTGCCGTTAGCAACTTCTCTTTTGCAGACTGAACAATTCTAAACCCTATCTTATTTATTTGTTTATTTATTCATTTATTTTATATTTTTACATAATTTTTCACTTTTGCACAATGTATGCATTTTCATCTTGGTTGTAGTCCCCATACAATTCCCACACCCCTTATTTTGACCCTAATCCCTCCTCTGTTACCCCCCCACCCCATGCATCTCTAGTTTATAGTTGCTTGTTGATTTTGATTTTTACTTTATTATAATTAGTCTTTTTCCTGGTCCCTTATTTAGGTTTTCTAAATTCCTGCTATGAGTGATACCACTGGTATTTTTCTTTTTCTTTCTGGCTTTTTTCGCTGAGCATGATCCCTTCCAGCTCCATCCATGTTGCTGCAAATTGCATGAGTTTATCCTTTTTGATTGCTGAGTAATATTCCATGGTATATATGTACCACATCTTCTTGATCCAGTCATCTATTTTTGGGCATTTGGGTTATTTCCAGGTTTTACCTATTGTAAATAGTGCTGCAGTAAACATAGGGGTACAAGTGGTCTTTTGAATCAATGTTTTTGTGCCCTTTGGCTAGATCCCTAAAGGTGGAATTGCTGGGACATAAGGTAGCTCTGTTTTCAGTAGACTGAGGAACCTCCAGACAGCTTTCCAAAGTGGTTGGACCAGTTTGCACTCCCACAGGAGAGTTCCTTTTTCTCCACATCTTATTTATTTTATTTTTCAAATTTTCACCCATAATTTGATTGTTGGTTTTGAGTATTTTCCTCTTTTTCCTCTGGATGATTCTTTTTTCTCCTTTATTATCTTTGATGTTTGTTCTGAGAATTTTTAACATTTTATTTTTGTCTATGCCCCTGTAATTTTTTTCTTTGTCACACGTTTTTAAAAGTCATTCACTTTTGCTATTTTCTGACATCTTCAATACTCAGACTGCCACTTACTTTCATCAGAGTGTTTAAAATATTTTTGTTACTTTTATTTAGTCCCTCATTTTCCTATTTATTGGTAACACATTGATTTAAATGATTTATTTTGTAATCTTATTTTAAAATATGAGAATATGGAAAAAGCTGAATTCTGCAGATACCTCCTCACTATCACACCTTGAATCAGAGACCTCTAAGAATTGCTTCCATTCTTTCAGCAATAGGTTGTGAGTTTATATAAAAGCTACTTTGAGGAAATACAGTCATTACTAAGCCAAATAAATAAAATGTGAATTATTAGAATTTAATAGAAACCAATTGTGATTTTGAATGGCTTAGGGATATTTGTTTGCTACTTGACAGGCTTACATAATGGAAAATAATGTAGCTAAGGCATTTTGTAAATTCCTGTAGGTGAGTATACAAAGTTACTTTAAATCAGCCTGTCCAAGAAATTTTCTTTCTTTTTTATTTTTTTAAAGATTTTATTTTATTTATGTTTGCATAGAAGAACTGGGGTGCAGGCCAGAGGAGCTAACCCACATGGCACAGCAATCTCTCCTGTCTCACCTGCTGCTCCCCTTAGTTTATTTCAGTAAATCTGTCTATTCTGCTGCCCACTCCTCAAATATTTGCTATGATCTTATTTAAAAGATTGAATTCATCTTTACCACATCCTAAAAAATAGGTAGGGAAAGTGTGTCATTCCTAATTTAAAGTCTAAGAAAAATTAGAGATAAATGTTATTTAAATTTTGAATATAAGAATTTTCTTATATTAATTCAAGAGTGGCAGCAAGCCTATTTTTATCATTGGGTTACTATTGATTTTTATAAGTTTCCTATTGATTTTTCTACCTATGCTCAATCTATTGTGGAAAGTAGAGTATTAACACTCCTTATTATCATTGTATTGCTATTTCTCCCTTTAAGTCTCTTTATATTTACAGTATATATTTAGGTTTTCAGTGTTGGGTGTTCTTTATTTATAAATGTTATAGTCTCTTATTGAATTGACTCCTTTATCACTATATAGTGACTGTTTTTTGCTTCTCATTCACTTTTTTCTAACATAAGGATGGCTATTCATCTTCTCTTTGGTTTCATTTACATGTAATACCTTTATTAGTTCACTATCAGTTTCTGTGTCCTAAAGCTGAAGTGAGTGTCTTTTAGGAAACTACAATTGTTTTTTTTTTTCCTTTTAATTCATTTAGCCCTATATTTCTTTTGACTACAGAATTTAATCCATTTATAGATAGTCTTTTTTTCAAAGATTTATTTATTTATGCATACAGGAACTGGGGTACAGAGGTGCAGGGAGTGAGAGGATTCACCAGGGACAGAGTGGGGAACAGAACAGGCAGACTGACTGAAGTACACTGCTGAGGGGAGCAGCAGGTGAGTCAGGAGGGGTCTACCATGCCATGTGGGTAGCTCCCAGGCTGGGGCTCAAACTTGTGCTGCAATGGCTGCGGAGAGCTTCATAGGTTGTGTCTTAATTCCTTGCACCACCAGGGAGGCCTTTAGATACTATCTTATAATTGCTATTTTGTTCTTTATTCTGTGGTTTTTCTGTAACTTCTTTGTTCCTTTCTTTTTTCTTACCTTCTTCCTTTGTGAGTTCATCATTATCTGCAGGAGTGTGTTTTGATTCCTTTCTGTTTATCTTTTATCTATCTCATATAAGTTTTTGCTTTCTGGTTACATTGAGGCTTATATAAATCATCTTGTATTTATAAAAGTATAGTAAATAATTTTGAAAGCATTAGTTCTCTGCCTACATTTTATATTTGGACATCACAATTTGCATATTTTTATCTTTATTCATTAAGAAAATATTGTACTTGTGACTTTTCAATTCTTTTGTAACTTTCATGGTATATTTATGAGTGATTTATTTGCCACTTATATTAGGTATTCTAAATTTACCTATGTATCTATCTTTATGTGTCAGATTTATACTTTTCCTTCAACTTGATGAACTCACTTAAATGTCTTACAAGGATGATCTAATGGTGATGAACTCCTTCAGCTATTACTGGTCTGGAATTTTTTTTGTATTTTTTTTTAATTTTATTTTTATATTCCCCATAAAATTTCAGCCCCCTTATTTTGACCCCAAACCCTCCTTTCCCCCCCCCCCATAGAGTGTCTCTGGTTCATAGTTTTTTGTTGATTTTGATTTTTTTTTATTTTTTCTTTCTTATAGTTATTCTTTTTCCTGGTCTCTTATTTAAGTTTTCTAGATTCCTGCTATGAGTGAGACCATCCGGTATTTTTCTTTTTCTTTCTGGCTTATTTCGCTGAGCATGATCCCTTCCAGCTCCATTCATGTTGCTGCAAATTGCATGTGTTTATCTTTTTTGAATGCTGAGTAATATTCCATGGTGTATATGTACCACATCTTCTTGATCCAGTCATCTATTTTTGGGCATTTGGGTTGTTTCCAAAGCTTAGCTATTGTAAACAGTGCTGCTATAAACATAGGGGTGCAGGTGTTCTTTGGAATTGATGTTTCTGTGTCCTTTGGGTAAATACCTACGAGTG